TGGGGGGGGGGGTGTGAATCTCAGAAAAGACTGTGGGTTTGGGGTCCTTCTTCCAAGCAGAAAGCTATCTAATCTCATTTGCCAGGTGACAGCACAAATGCTTGTGCCAGTTGTGGCCGTAATTAGAACCACTTTCTCTGATGTGCTAATGTAAATGCACGTCAAAGTATTTCTTACTTAACAGAATGAGACAATGAAGGTACCTGTCATGTCTTTGATTCCTCTCAATTTGTTCAAGATACAGGATCATAGCCAAGGAAAAAAATTCAGAATTCCTTTTCAGTATGTTGTTTCCTGTTTGATATTTTATTTATTTTGCTTTTTATTTATTTTTAACATTTCCTCAGATTGTTGGAAATGCCAGCCAGCATTAAAGTGAAAACTAAAAAATTAATGGAAAACAATAACATTTTTTTAACACTGAGTTGAGTAGAGGGCCCAGGGAGGCATTAAACTACAGGTTTTGCTCTGCCTTTACACCCCCCTCAAGATTTTTATATGAGCAAATAAAAACAATTTTCGCCTTTGACTTAATTTTATGGCAAATTAAAAAAGTTACTGCAATTTGATTGCTTTTGCCAGTTATAGAAATTATTTTAATGCTTTCGCACAACAAATGTTGAATAGCTACTGGAAGTATTTAAATCCTCTCACCATAAAGCACCAGTCTGTACGTACTTTACATTTTAAATGTCTATTGCAAAAAGCACTTGCTATATGTTATGTCTCTTTCCATAGGCAATCTTCATCTAAATACTTCTGTGACTCAGCTACTTGTGGGTATGTTATAGAAACATTCTTGTTACTGAAATATAAAAAGAAGGTATTTATCTGAATGTGCTGATATCCAAACCGCGGCAAAGTGTTCAGTGTTGTCTTACGTAAAACTGTGAATTCCAAGATAGCATTTATTTTGACTTATGTTAGACGGCTGCTGCTGAGAAAGAACCGATTAATCTCCAGTTCAGAGATACACTTTATGGCTACAGAACACTGTACCAGCTTCTGTAAATGGCCCTCACAAGCACGGGCACAAAGAATTGCAGTTTTTAACCAACACACAATAAAGTTTACTTAATAGTTACACCAGGGAACACCAGTGAACGCCAAGGAAATGTTACTATCACTCAAATGTATCATTTTAGAAAGTTTGAAAACATCATGTCAAGCGTGATTACCTAACTCCTCCTCTCAGAATGAGTATTATATTACCTAACTGTGGCTCTACTTTGTAAGCCATTAATAAATGGATTTTCATTTTTAAATTTGAAGTTACTAGATTTCCACGATTCAAAGTAGACAATAAAACAGAATTCACCCATATTTTTGGAAGATTAAATGATGTAGCCTTAACAGATAAATGTTGTCCTGCATACTGTGTATTGTTCGAACAAGCATTAGTGCCTAAAAAGTTTATTCCAGCTATTGTGATACTCAGGGCCTTGCTTATTGTATGTATACAAATATAAGCATAACTTTTCTAGCATTGCTGCATTGTGCTATTTTACTGTCCTTCATTTTCACTGAAATGTCGTGTTGTTTACCGTTACTGTTTGTCAAAATTAAAGATAATTATTTTATTGTGCAGAGTACACCTGGCTTTCTTTTTTGTAACAGACATACAACTCCTTTTGCTATTTTTCCTTTGAATGCGAACAGCAGAAGTCATAAGTTACTATTCTGATTTTACAAAAGCCATTTAAGCCCCAAATTTGAAATGGCTGCTCCAAAACACATACAAAAAAAAACTTTCAAAAAACATACATTGTTTGAAATAAAGACACATGTTTGGAGCTATGAGTCTCCATGCCGCAGCCAGCAGGTCTGCTAGCAAACTCACTCCTCTTCACCCCAGGAGCCATCTGCAGCCCCATTTTTGTCAAGCATCCACCAGCACAGTCTCCCACAATTCTTACCACAGCACAGACTGGGGCAGGACTGGTTTCAGCACTAAACTGCCAAGAAGCAGTTCTTAACAAAGAGTGACATATGTATTTGAGTTTTCTCCTAAATCACGGTGCCATTCAGAACATACTTCACGACTGACTCTTTCAGCAGGGGACGAGGGTAACGCAACACCTGCTTGTTGCTCCTGTGACTGCCCTCACCTAGCTATCCTGATCTCAAACCGCCAGAAGCCAAAACACAGGAGCACAGTAAAGGGTGTGGTTTAACTTCAGGGCATGGCCGAGGCCCATCACTGTGCCGCAGAAAACCGCACAGCTACAGAAACCCCTCTGCAGAAACTGAGGTGCAGGAGCCACTTTTGAAAGTGCTGAGAACTCCAAGACTGAGGCTTGGCTTGCCCACCAACGCTGGGAAAGGCTGGGGCACCATACCTTCATGCCCTCTGTGTTTCTGCGGAGGGCACAAGTCCTATTTTCTAAGTAAAGCAGCAGCAATACAAATGCAAATACAAGATCAAAGAAAGGAAATAGAAACCACTGAACCCACAGTGACACTTCAGTCAAGGTCTGTCTGTACTCCTCAATTACACCAGATTAGCCAAACCTACGTGCTTATTCCAGCTTAAATCTCAAGTGAAACACCTCAAATTAAATCCCTGCGCTAGATACAAGCATTCAGAGGCATCTGTAGTGAAGCAAAACTATAACTTTAAAATTCTTGCTAGCTTATCAGTGCAACTTCCTTATTTAAATACACTCTCAGGTTGCTGGTTTGAAAACAGCTGAACTAAAAAAAAGCTAATTCAATATAGAAAATAAACAAACAAGTCTGCCTTCCAATGGTCTTCACATAAACTACACCAAAATCATTAAACTTTAACCAAAACCATACTTTTCAGGCCCACAGACTGATATTAACTTAAACCTAATATTTTTTTATGCCTCTCCCCAAAAAAACAACATACATTATGAACTCTTCAAAGTGCTATCTTATGTAATACTATTTGTCTACTGGTACCTTACTGAGAAGACACAGACCATTAAGTCACCACTGACTGGCTAACAGTTCCAGTCCCTGCTAATCTGTCCTGTATCTGGACATTACATACTGGTAAAAAAGAAAAGAAAAAAGCTCTGAAGAGAAAAAGGAGAAAAAAAAAACAAAACACCCACACAAACCCCCAAAACTAGCCAGACAAAAAAATCAAGTACACTTACAGGTGATTTAAAGCTCTAAAGAATATTCTTAATGAGAGAAAATGTTTCAGTCAATACACACTTTTCACAAGCCTGGCAATAACCTGGACAGCACAAACACAGCCATTATTGCAAGGCAACGGGTATCCTTGGTGCAAAGTGAAACAGCAGCTGCTGTAGCTGAAACCATGGGTTTTTTCCTGTGCTTTATACTCAAAGGCAAAGTTCATTGCATAGGAAAGCATTTGCTTTGTAAGTTATTGCTAGTCTAGACAGAGGTGCTCAAATAGGAAGTGAGATATATATTTAGTGACACTGTCCACCTAACAGTAAAGAAATGCAACAACTCACCCGGATGTAAGCATTCTGAATTTCTACCAGTTCTTCACCAAGTGGAACAACAATTTTTTCCACTTGTCGCTCATGAGAATAAGGCTGAATTTCCGGAGAATCTTCAGCACAAAGCTCTATCTGAGCTATGAGTAAGTTGGAAATAACTTGCTGCACAGCCTGTTTGAGAAGCCACAAAAAAGACCATATTTGCTTGTTACGTATCACATGAAAGTAACAATTTCCATATTTTAGCAAGCCTTGAATATAATTGTAAGGAAAAGGTACCTGCTACCTACAGATGAAAAATCAAAGACTCTCCACTGAAAGATCTGAAGCAGTATACAGAGAGCCAATATGGTAAGCTCAGGAATACAAAAAGCGTGCTATTGCACGAGGGCTGGAGTGACGGTACTCTCCCTTTGGCTTTGGGCGTACCATGAAACACCTGATGAGAAGCAACCTGGAGCTAGGAGCCTAACCTGAACTTGGATGTCCATCTGCCTTAGTCTGAAAACCTCAGCCTTCCTTCCGTTTACCCAACACACTACACTGAACAGAACAGGAAAGCCATTTTACATTGAGAGTATATTCTTTCTGGTTCAAGTAGGTTTGCATTCTTAAAAAAAAGAACGTATTATTTACTTTTAGAAAGGTCAGGAAATAAGTAATATAGAGTCTGTAGCGCGAAAAAGACAAACCCTCAACAACTTATAGATTGCAAAGAGATTCAGGTTTTACATCTAATAGACTTCAGTAACCCGCATGGTGTTCAAACTGTATCAAAATGGTATTAAACATAGTTTCTACTGAAACCTTATTATTCCACCTATGCAACCAGATTTGACTCACCTTCGTATCACTGCCTGGTGTGGCGGTTAAGGCCAAGATCCGAAACTGATCTGTGTATTTGCTTAGTTCCCTTACAACCTAAGAACAGGAAAGTTTCTGTTAATATCCTTGAAAGAGATTATTTGCTGATACAAACTACATTGATGAAAATATCCACTAAGTAGAAAGAGCTTAACAAAATATTCTAAAAAGAGTATATCTAAATTCAAATGTGAACCAGGAAGCGTTCAGTTTATAACCATTTTACCCACAAACACTTAACCTTGATTAAGTATATTACCCCATTCCCATTCAGCAGAACAACCTTGGTAAATTATGAAATTATTTTTCACTTGATTTAACAAACAGATTAACAGCACACTAATCTAACAAACAGATTAACAGCACACTAATTCCAGGGAGCTCCCAAAAAGTAAGTTTCAAGCACCACTCTAAAAAGTAAGTCATGGATGTTCAGTCCCGTGAATCTGAACAGAGATTATACGACAACCAGGACGACAACCAGCATTCAGTTGAGTCTCACTTTAAAAAGTTGCATTAGCAACTGGGAAAATGGGTGAATATTCCTTAGACCTCCCAGGTTCTCTTTATACAATCCTCCCTAAGACCAAAACTAGGACAAGTACGATAGCTGCTAAACATTCAAGCACTAACCAAACTGCCTCCCTGCTTCATTTGCCCACGGATCTGAGCTCTGCCAGTGCTATCGGGGAACCCCATGCCTTCTGACCAACCACCTTGCGCTGCACAACAAAAAATACAAAAAATATAACATAACATAAAAGCTACAGAGAAGAAGTGAACGGAGACTAAAGAGAAATTCAGTTTGTGGTGATAGCTCTGCTGAAAATCATACATAGGCATAGCTAAAACAGAGAACCAAGCCCGCCAATTTCACAGCCATGGGGACTGACACAGGGCAATGGAAGAGATTTTTCTCAGCTATAGCTAAGGCGACTTAAAAGCCAGTGCGTACAAGCCTTGGTTCTATGTTACACAGTGATTCGTGTAATAGTAAAATATTTTAAGAAAAGATTTTTATATAGTATTTTGAAACAAAATAACCTATAAACATAAATTATTTGAAAATGAAGTTGCTATAGTTCTGAAAAATGATAGAAGAAGAAAACTGCAATACTGGCAAACCAACACGTACTGTTTTAATGTGGCAAGCAACCGTTGCTTTTCCAGCATGCCAAATTAGACAAGCCCTAAAAAACACTTACTTTCCTCTAAAGAGGCCTAGTAAGCAACTGTACACAACTCCACATATAGTCAATTTCTCCAGTACATAAAACTATCTTTTAGGTCACGTATTGCTGTGAGGAGACTAAGCCATGATGACACAACAAACTCTTTGCTAATCAATACAAAACCAATATTTAAAAAGAAATTTTGAACTCATTTTACTGAGATAAAGAACTTTACAAAAAAGCTCACACTTTTTTCTGAAAAAAATACCTCCCCTCATTTAAGAGCTATTCCAACATAGCGCAAACACACCTGAGTACACCTGCAAATACAAACACGTCTGAAAGAAACAGCATAGTGACATTTTTGTTAAAGTCAAATAAAAGTTTGAAACAAAAATTACAACTTTATTCAGATGTTAAAAAAATCCCCCACCTCACCTTATCAAGTTTTAATACAGGTTTATCCTGAAAAACAAGGCGCTGACGACATAGAGGACTGTCTGACCTCTTTCAAACAAAGCTAAAGCCCTAAGGGACAATCTCCCTACGGCAGTGATGAGTGACACGTTATAGAAAACCTACAAGTGATTTGGGGAGTTTTTTTGTAATCATGAGACAAGAGCAGGGTGACTCCAGCGTTACCTGACAGTAGGCATGATTTCCAAGGGCTTTGTGGGCTTCATCAATCACCAAACATTTAACCTCCACAGCAGGACACGTCCCACGAGAAAGATCATTCATCATTATTTGTGGTGTAAGGAAGAAGACTCTCTTGGCGGTCCACAGTTCCCTCCGACTGAGAGCTTGGGTTCCCCCTGAAAATTAAAGGGGTAACATTACAAACTGGTCGGCTGAGAGCAAGCCAGGACCCAGGACCTGAGAGCAACAGCAGCAGGCTGACAGACGCATGCTGGCTTTGGGAAACGAGCGCCCTTTAAAACAGCACACATCTTGATGCTATTCCCACTTTCAGGAAAGGAAAAAAAAAGAAAGGTGAATGCAATGACTAGGAAGATCTTTTGCATTAAACCAGTAAATCCAGAACTGCAAAAAGCAAGGCCAGAAAGACCAAGATGTCCCTAGCCTCTCGCAGCCCCACACCAAACCGACAGCTCCTCTGACAAAGGCTTGCGCTGAAGAACACGTTACTGACTCAGCCGCCAAGGCTACTACTTCAGTAAGCAATAACTGCCGTTCATGGGGCTTGCAAAAACTTTGGGGAAGGAAAAAAAAAAAGGAAAAAAAGCGATTATTAAGTTTCACAGAGAGCGTATTTTCCATGCAAGCACTTATAGGGAAACCCCAAGACTCTGTGAACCACCGCCCTGCACCCAGGGCTCCAGCAGACGTGGTCCAGCGCTTCATCGCCCTTATACTGGTGACCTAGGGTTTTAGCTACTGCACAAGCTAAAATTAACCCCAATATTGTCTTGAAGGAAGGGGTTAAAAGGGATTTCAGTAGAAGTAGCATTATCTAATAGTTGCGGTGCATTTAAAGAGAACTGATAGTGCCTATCTATTGCCTAAATTTTAACTGAGCAGAGTCTGGCATCTCCATACAAAGGGGTCAGTTCCTGATAGGGGCTGGGAGTCACCTAGAACCCGTCAGGACCGACTCTGTTGTATGGATGGGAGCCAGGAGAGAACTGAGTTTGCGCAGAAACAAAGGTCAATCAGCGGACACCGTGATGAAGAGGATGGACCTTCATCTTGGGACCCCTGATGACCACCACCAGGAGGCACTGGGCAAGCGCAGCTGGGAGGAGACTATGGAAATTACTTCTTGGAACTAATTATAATATGGAAATTAGGAAATTATTTCTTGGAACTGATTTTAATATGAAATGAGGATAGGTGCATATGTATAGGCGTATTGGGAAGTCTAATGTATATGTAATATTTGATTGTATAAATTGAAGAGACAAATTGCTGCTCGGCACGCACGACTTTGATGGGGCCACCCGGCGCCGAATAAACATCCCTACTTTACAATCTGACAGATTGTGGAGTCTGCTTTCCGCACGTCAGTCTCATACCGAAAAAAAAGGCTATTATTTTTTTTTCCCCCTTCGCTGAGGCTCTCCGCGTTGCTTGCCCTTGCCCTGAGCCGCCTCGCCGCCC